AGAGTGAGTCTCTGTCTCAAAAAAAAAAAAAAAAAAATACGTGGCATTCTTATACCAAAAAAACACAAAGAAAACAAGAGGAGTTCTAATTTTTAAGAACTGAGGTGTTTCTTCTACTTTATACTTGAAGCATCTCAGGGCGGGGCTAAGGGAATTCTTGCCTTGAGTGTTGAATGCATCGGTGTCATGTGTGGATTTGAAAAAATGCTCACCAGTGCCGATGGTGGCTGATGAAGAGGAAGAAGCTTCTCTGGGGAAAAATATATCCTTCCCCATATCCTTGTGCAGTGCTGCTAAGTTGACATGATCCTTTGCTAGGTCTTTTGTCCATATCACTGGATGGGAGAAGCTGTAAAAGTTACAGTAGGGTTTTAGTATCCATTTTTCTAGTAGCATTCCCCATTCTTTCCAACTCATCAGTTTGGGATTGCTATTCCTGCTTTATTGACATTCAACATAAGAGATAAATTAGCAATTTGATTAATTCAGAATAATCAAGATTCTGGAGTGTATTTTTCTAATGCGTGTTCCCTTTGGTCCAGCTGCCAAACAACAGCAAAGGCTCAAATCCATAATAAAGCAACTCTTCAAAGGATCTAAGACAAGCTAGGAGGAGAAACTTGTTGGTAGGAAGAGATTTCAGGGGTATAGCCTCAGGGAAGGATGCTTAAGAAATGTAGCTTATTTTGTCAGTATTTAAAAAAAATAACGTGTGTATTTTAACTATTGATTTATTTGGATGAAGATTTCCATCTTAGAGCCTGAGTTATCAGTAATATAGGAAGACAGAAGAGAAACTGGTATGAAAGGTCAAGAGACAATTAAAGTACAAGATTTGAATGAGGTAAGAAATAAGAAGATAATTTTCAGTGACATTTTCTAATATAGGTAAGGCAGACCCCAAAAGGATGCTCAAGAATTACTGAAAATAGTCAAAAGGAGAAAGCACACTTCCAGGAGTGACAAATCTACATCCTATGATTGTGATCTGTGGTTACAAAAAGCCTTCCTAGGAGTAGTCAGTCAGGAAGGAACCCATTAAAAATGTATTTAGAGGCCGGGTGCGGTGGTTCACGCCTGTAATCCTAGCACTCTGGGAGGCTGAGGCAGGCGGATCGCTTGAGCTCAGGAGTTCGAGACCAGCCTGAGCAAGAACAAGACCCCATCCCTACTAAAAAAAATAGAAAGAAATTAGCTGGACGACTTAAAATATATATAGAAAAAATTAGCCGGGCATGGTGGCACATGCCTGTAGTCCCAGCAACTCAGGAGGCTGAGGCAGGAGGATCCCCCAGGAGTTTGAGATTGCTGTGAGCTAGGCTGATGCCACAGCACTCTAGCCCGGGCAGCAGAGTGAGTCTCTGTCTCAAAAAAAAAAAAAAGGTATTTAGAGCCAGGTGCAGTGGCTCATGCCTGAAATCCCAGCACTTTTGGGAGGCCAAGGCAGGAAGATCGCTTGAGGCCAGGAGTTCAAGACCAGCCTGAGCACCATAGTGAGACTGTCATCTCTACAAACAATTTAAAAATTAGTGGGGCATGGTGACGCACCTAGTAGTCCCAGCTACTTGGGAGATTAAGGTGGGAGGAGTGCTGGAGCCCAGGAGTTTGAGGTTACAACGAGCTATAATTGGGCCTCACTATACTCCAGCCTAGACAACAGAGCAAGAGCCTATCTCTAAAACTAGTATGTTCAAATCATAAGGATGATTTAAAAGGTATTTCCTCACTGAAGAATAAATGTGAAAATTCAGAACAATCTAGTAATTACCCATTTACAGAGCATTTTCTATGAGCAAGGTGCCCATATATGTCCAGGCATCATTATCTCTATTTTTCATATGAGGAAACTAAGGCTAAGAACAGTGAAGTAAGTAGCCCAGGGTCCCACTGTTGGTAAACAGTAGAAGAGGACTACAGGGCTCTTTTCCAACACATCATTCCACATTTCCCAGGTTACAGAGTATAGATGCATCAGTTTCATGCTGCTTTCTGACTCACCAAACCGCATGCAGTTAGTGCACTTGACAGGTGTGCTTTTACAGCGGAGAGGGGCCCACCACTTGATGATAGTGTGATCATCAAGGGAATTGGCTCAGTTTTCACTCTGTGTTCACTAAGTTGCATTTAATATCAATTTAATTACATGATAGGTTTTCGTACACAAGAGAAAATGCACTTTGGAAGGCTGAAGAGAGTAGATACTAAAAGTGAGAGCTTTTAAGTTAGACTTGGGTTTGAATCCCAGCGCTGACTATGTGACCTGAGAAAATTACCTAACATATCTGAGCTTCATGTTTCTCCTCTATAAAAAGAACATAGTAATAATTCCAATCTCATAGTGTTCCTGGAAGAACAGAATGAAATGATGCGTGTAAAGCGCTTATCATAGTGTCTGACATGGTAAGCCCTCAATACATAGTAGCTACTATCATTATTACTCCGATTATTATCAAGTAATTTGGAAAGATTTCAATAATACCTTATATTTTGTAGGTACTTATATTTTATAAAATACTTTCAAAATCACATTTTATTCCTACTGTGATGGCTATAATGTAAGTAAGACAAGTATTACTACATTTTACAGTTGTGTAAATGGGCTTGGAGAAAAACATATCTTATGAGCTATGATACCATGAACTAGTTTTTATAGGTTCATAAATCCCCTAGATGACTCTATAATTGAGTTGGGCAGAAAATTATTATTATCAGAGTTTATAGGAAACACTGTTATTATATATAAAATTAATTATATAAAATGCTTTTTAAAGATATTGAAAATGAGCCAACAAAAAATTGAAATATTTGAAAGTGAGTCAGAAGAGAGAGTGAGGAGAAAGAAATTGGCATCTGATCTTAATACTATACAGACGGCCTTGAAAGTTAAAAGTGAGGTATTGCCATACAGTGTGTTGTTTTCTTCTTGTTGTAGTTCTAATTTAGGGATTTCATGTTATCATTTTAGAATAAATTATAACTGTATGTCTTAGCTTGGGCTACCATAACCAAATACCACAGACTGTGTGGCTTAAAAAATGGAAATTTATTTTCTCACAGTTCTAGAGGCTGAGAAGTCCAAAATCAAGGTGCTGGCCAATTCACTTCCTGGTGAGGGCTCTCTCCCTGGTTTGCAGATGGACACCTTCTGGCTGTGTCCTCACATGACAGAGAGAGAGAACAAGCTCTGATGTCTTTTCTTCTTCTTATAAAGGCACCAGCCCTATCAGATTAGGGCTCCACCCTTATATCCTCATTTGACCCTTATCACCTCCTTATCAACCCTATCTCCAAATATAGTCATATTGGGAATTAGGGCTTCAACATACGAATTTTGAGGGAGGGGGGACACAATTATGTCCATAGCACTATAGAATATGTGTTTCTAGTAATAATAATAGGATAGCCCTGTTATTTCCCCAAGCTGAGTTCCAGCACTAGCAAAAGAGTCCTTTAAGTAGCAAATGTTTGATTGTTATGGTGTTCTTAGAGTCATGGACTTGTCTCTCATTTTAACCTCTTATCCTGCCATCTTGGAAAGATTATCAGGAGACATAATCAGCCTATATTTTGAAGAGAGACTTGGAAATGAGTTCATGAAAGTCTGGATCAGCAGTTTAGAGGACAGTGACACTTAATGAATTTTCAGGGTAGGTGGCAGCCAATGCAATGGGCCCAAATCACATCTGAATGACCTACAGTAATTTTCAGTGAAAAGAGATAGAAAATCAATACCATTTGCCCTCTTCCTATGGTTTTGCATTCCCCATACCTTCTTGCCTTTTTGCCCAAGCCTTTGTCATGAGTATTCAACTCCCCCTCTGATTTCAAGGCTTTGGGAAAATACCAAGTAGCTCCTCTCCTAAAGTAAATTTTACATAACCTGTTCCCTTCATTGGGTACTACAGACTGACTCTCAGCCCCTAGTCTTCTACCAATCAAACACTGAATATTCCATGCCATCAATGTAAAAATCTGATGAAAATCCACATCTAACTAAAGTGTTTTTTCTCGTGGATATGAAAAAAAATCAGAAGACTAGAGGAACCCTAGATGATTAAGTCATTGGATATACATTATTGAGTAAGGCAGCATAATTGGTAATTAAGAACAAGTTTAAGCTCAGTGCAGTGGTGTGCATCTGTAGTCCTAGCCACTCAGGAGGCTGAGGCAGAAAGAATGCTTGAGCCCAGGAGTTCGAGTCTATAATACGATCATGCCTGTTAGTAGCCGCTGCACTCCAGCCTGGGCAGCAGAGTGAGACCTCATCTTTAAAAATAAAAAGCCAAACACAAAGTTTGAAGTTAGACAGACACGGGTTTGGAATCTCAGCTTTATGACTTCCTGGCTATGTGAATTTAGGCAGGTCACTTAAGCTCTCTAAGCCTTAGCTTGAACAACCCTCTTATAGGGTTGTCACAAAATTAAAGGTTAACTACACAACACGTCGTTCCGTAAAAGGTAACTTGTAAAAAGATACATTTTAAAAACAGATAGCATGGCTATTTAATACAGCAGTTACTGAAGATTTTACCTCTATGTAAGCCTTTATTAAAGTAGGAATGACTCTAGAAACCCATTATTCCAACCTGTGAATGATAGGAACTAAGAATGTTCAGTTTAATTAATTGATTTAAGTAAACTTTGTTTTAATTACTAAGAAAGGAATTTTTCTGCCAGAAGGATAGGTTGGAATATTTAAAACAAAAAATTTGTCAGGACCATTTCAAGATTCCTTTTTAGAAATATTTCCCCATAATATGGGGAAATAGTCTTATTTTATTCTACTAAACATTTTCATTTCTTAATCAGGAATTGCACAAATCAAAGTCAGAACTTATATCCCTATATAATGAAATTCAAAGTCTTTCTGGAACAGTGGAAAGCAGAGACCATTTCTTAATAGCATATGACTTGCTACAAAGAGAGAATTCTGATTTAGAAACAAAGGTGAGACTGAATTATTAAGTATTTAAATGTATTTTATTTAACATATCTTTTATGAGCATAGAATAAAAGGAAATTAATTTTAAGTAAGAGATGATTTGGAAATTAAAGTTTCTTTTATTATTATAGAATAAATTGCCATCTAGTATGGCTTATAAGTCAAGCTCTATTTCAGGATAAATATTCAGACTTCAAACAGTACTTGGCACTTAGGATTAATCTGTGAATTTTTTATTTTAAATCAACTTCCTACTAATTTAATTTTTGGAGCACATATTATAATGTAAAATATATGCATAAATGTCTCTAACTTAAAAACTTGGGATCAAAGTATCTTTCTCAGTTACACTGAGAATTGAGTTTATACTTAGAATTAGGAAAATGTTTAAATGTCCTGACCTTAATTTGTTCCTCTAGTTTAAAAATGGCTGCCAGGGGAGATCACTTGAGGTCAGGAGTTCAAGGCTGCAGTGCACTATGACACTATGATTGTGCCTATGAATAGCCACTGTACTCCAGCCTGGGCAACAGAATGAGACTTCCTCTCTAAAAAAAAAAAAAAAATGGGCTGCCAGACCAAGGTTAGAACAACACTAGATGAAGAGGTTGGCTGTAGTGTAATTTCTAGAGTCCCAACTGTTAGGTTATAACCATCTTATCCTCGCTGAAAATTCCCTTCCTTAATCAGTCTTTTGATCTAGATTAAAGATTAAGGACCAAAGGCTTGAACACAGCAGTTAAAATATATTACGTTATATCTTAACACCATGTGTGAGGTGAAGAACTAAATCAAAGCCTAATTTATCCTATGCATAGTTGTTACTCTAGGAAATGGAGCAGATTGCTGAGGAAATGGGATGGGACATAGATAGCATGTGACGTACGAAGGGAAAGGTCCAGAACACAGGATTTGCTGCCTGGGAGTGTAGATATGTGGGCATAGCCTACAACTAAGCTTTGTTTGTGGGACCTTGTCAGCAATGTGAGTTATCATCACATTATACAATTAAAGGACCGTGTCTTTCAAAATGTTGTTGGAAACGGTAACACAAAGAATGAACTGAGGTGAGAAGAATATAATATAAAATCAAGAGATCCAGATCACTACCCTGATAATCTGGATCTCTCTTCTTGTTTTTTAAACTTTTTTTTTTTTT